TGCCTGAGGCGAAAACGTTTGTTGCGGTATGTACACTGTACTATCAATTGAAGAAAAATTTGTTTGCGATTAATTCATTCCGTGGATTTGTTATCAAAACAGGCCACAGCTGAAACAAGCAATTTAATATTGTTCAATGACATTATGGATTCATATCTCGAGTCAATGCAAACGGCTCTTCGTGACATTGACCCATACTTTAGTGCAACGGAATTATTAGAAACACACGAAACGGCCAAAAATGAATCAATATCACAGGTACTGCATGCCACATTCATCTTATTCCCATTGGAAATGATTATGAAGTGAAATATCTTCATACAAAAATATAATATTAATGCAATCATTATCATTTGCAAACAGTTTTTGCGTAAACGTAAACTTGGTAGCGATGACCTCATATCATCTTTCGTACGTCGCATTGAAAATACTACAGAAGAACGATTTTTGGATTTCCAGCTGGAAAACAACGAGAAACGAAAAGCATTCATTGTAAGTTATCGACCAATTTGATGGTATTTAAAATTTCCAATCCAACATGAACCGAAAAGAAAATTAACTGTTTTTTTTTTCATTTTCTTCCAAAGGACAAAGCCAATTTGCATAATGGAAAATTGGTCATTGAAATTCGAACGGATTCTGAAAAGGAAATACTCAACGAAATTGAACGAATGGAATCAATTTCCGCTGAGAATTTAAAGCAACTATTAGAAAAAACACAGGAAAATGCTTTAAGTGATGTGAGTGTCCAACATTGCAATGAAAAAATTAAATCTAGCCTGCCGAATTTATTTACCAAAAGAGAAATAGTTGCTGGAATAAATCATTTCAGCGGTTAAAAGACATTTTTGCATTCTCCGCCGAGTGACTGCAACTCATTAGCCACAATGTGAAGTCGAATTTGATAAATTATTGATGTTTGTGTCATACTTTTGCAACGACCATGGTTAAGCCTGTATCTAACGATAAACTCTCTCATTTTTCTGTAGTTTGATGCAAAGAAGTTGGGCGACAGTGATATCACAAGTAGTTTCTTTGAAAAGATGCAGCACGATTTTGATGATTTCAAAGCTTCAATAGAGACAATGTTCACGTCATACAAGGACTCAGTGAATTTTTATTCTAATCCAATGCAAAACATGCTCAACAAAAGTCAATCATACGCAACACATAGTTTTCTCGCTGAAATGCATCAAAATTCGAAAAACGAGGCTATTAAACAGGTAAGAAATGATCAATCCCATGTTTTTGCTCAAATCCCTGAGATTATAGAGACCTCAACGAATTCAGAATCTCTTCTCATCTTGTTTTGTTAACAGGACAAACATAATTATTTATTCTGAATAGTTTCAGCTACGATCGCACGGTATCCCTGCTGAATTGATGTCAACTTTTGAACATAAAATCGTAAATGTGATTGAAAGAAACTACTCCTCATTTTTCCAAGAGAACGAAGTAAAACGTAATAATTTCATTGTATGTATTTCAACAGCTCTGCTTTTCTTTCGATAGAGACACTGAAGTAATTTAATGCTCATTTATTATAGTCAAGGGCCAGGATCCACAACGCAGATTTAGTCGAAGAAATCGAAAGCGGCCACTGGTCATCTGCATACGCACAAGTCGATAACGCGAAATCATATTTAAGTGACTCTGACGTATGGAACATTTTTCTTAAAACACAAAAAGCTGCCCTAGAAGAGGTACGTACTTTCAAGGGAGTTTTATCTTCTGAAATATCCATCAGGATGGGCCGAATTTCAAAGCATGTACTGACCGACGAAGCGGATGCATTTGAAAGCTCATGTTGACATAAGAAAATTTTCTTCTAGCACTTTTATCATCTGAAGGTCAACAAAATTGTTTCCAAGGGCCAAACACCAAAAATGTCAATATTGGGTAGAGTTCTTCAATTTTTTTTTAACACTATTGATGAACATCTGATACTTTATTTGAATTACTCGTGAAATAAGGATTAAAAAAACACTTCCAAACTAAGTTATTGCCATTTTGTGGCCGATAGATTCCAGAGATGACTTTAGCGCACCCGAGTATTTGTGTTGTTTTTCTTGTTTTTTTCTTCGTTATACTTTACCATTTTGGTCAAAAAAAACTTTGTATCAATATTTTGTGTACATAACAAAGAACATTTTTTGAAAAACCACATTTATAATAGTAAAATATGAAGAAAAAATCCCCAAAAGTAGAAATTGCGTAATATTGCGAAATTGAGCCAATGTGCGTAATTACTATGTGCATATGACCACACAATGCGAATACCAGGGGCAGAAAATGTAAGCTCTTCTTCGTTATGTTACACAAAATATTATTTTAAAAAAATCCTGGCCAAAAAGCTAAAGTAGAACGAAAAAACAACGAAAATACTCGGGTGCGCTGTAGCGCACTTGAGTGCGCTAAAGTCATCTCTGATAGATTCCTAAAATCGCCACTTTTGTCCAATTTTCCAAAGAACACCGCAAAATAGTAGACAGATGGTACGATTTTAATACGTAGAGTTTACAGCTTTCAGTGGCGAGTTTTTGCACGGGTTTGTATGACTTCAGTGTCAAAAAATATGTCGGTTTTACAAAAAATGTGTAAAATTCGCTTATGATTTTCAGTGCAAGAACATGCCCGCTCCATTGGTCAATGCACGCTTTCAAATTCGACTCACTCTAATTTTTTCTTCAAACTAATAGTATCTATGAAAATATAATGAATAACTTCCTTCCGTTTAGTATGATTCAAAAAAGATGGGCGATAGTAATATTTCATCTGCCTATCGCGCGCAACTCGAGGAAAAGATGTCCAAACTCAAACCCTATTTGGAGGCAGTCAATGCGGACAAAAGATCCAAATATAAAGCGAAAAAGGCCATTAAAACAGGTGCTGGTGCAGCGGGTGGGGCAGCAGCTGGTGCTGTGATCGCAGGCCCTGCAGGTGCTTTTATTGGCGGAATTGTCGGAGGAGCGGCTGGATACTTTATATAAAATTTCTATAATTCAAGATCATCACAATCTCTTCAATTTTAAAATTCTAGTAGATAATAATGCTTTGTAAAAAAATGTCTCAAATAAATTCAATGAAAGTATGAATTGAGCGAATTAAATTTGAAACGAAACACACACGGATTTTGAGATGAAAATACTTAACGGAACCAAGAGCATCGAATCAATGAACTCTGACAATTTGAAGCAATTATTAGACAGAAGAAAAAGTGAGGTGAGAGTGCGGTTTAATTCCAGAGGTCTCATTTGCTCTCAAAATATATTTCGTTATATCGCGGAGCTACTGCGAATAGCACATATCTTTTGCTGTTTGCAAATAGCGGCTACGCTGATGCGACGAAGGAATGGAGAGAGATAAACCGAGAAAACGAAATACACAAACGAGGCTGCGCGCTATTGTGTGTTACACTCTTTCGTTCAAACCATATTGACACATGCACACAGCCACCGTTCGACTCCGTTCGTGTGTACGCTATACGTGGCTGTATGTATGCGTCAATATGGTTCGTGTGTTTCCTTTTCTCGGTTTATCTCTCTCCATTCGTTCGTCGCATCAGCGTAGCCGCTATTTGCAAACAGCAAAAGAAACGTGCTATTCGCAGTAGCTCCGCGATATTAAGAAATATATTTTGAGAGCAAATGAGACCTCTGTTTAATTCGTTGCTGAATGGTCTTGTTTAATACATATTCCACACTTTTGCAATCAATCATAGGCACATATAATTCATTGCAAGATTGAAGGAAATTTGCTTTTTCAGGCGAATCAAAATGCTGTTCATTGAATTCCATGCCTATTTAATTGGTATGGCTGAGGAAAAAATTTATTTGTGCTCAACTATTGTACAATAGATTAAATAAACTGTAGACGATTAAAATGGGCATGTAAATGAATCTGATCCGTTTAAGCGAAAATAAATAAACAGGGTTTCTTAACAGACGAAGTCCCCACTACTGCATATCTATTCGTGAGACGTAAAAGAACGTATGTTTTTTTTCAGTTTTAAATATTTGAAAAGGAAAGTATGTTTTCGATCGATTTTGTCTGAGTAAAAGAGAAGTATGTTTGATGGCAACTAAAAATGGTTAAAAGAATGTATGTAATTTGAATGGTAGCGTTAGCGAAAAAAGAATGCATGTTTATGGTCAAGTAAATTTTGCAAAAAGAATGCATGTTGTTCTATCTATTCAGTTAATAATAAAGAGAAGCATCTTCTCATACATTTATATTGCCAAAAAAGAAAGTATGTTGGCTAAAATAATGTAAATAAAAAAATTTATTCCGACCGCCGTGAACAGGAATTCATAAACCTTAACACGGTCGGACAAGCGAACGACCAACATATTTATTTTCACACACCAGTCGTGCCGTCGCAGTGAATGAATCGAGTGGAGTAACAGGCGCACAGTACTCTCAGAGTGCGCATGCGCGCTCGATGAAACACGCATCTCCTGTCCACTTCATTCATAACCGCGCGCCGTTTGAGTGTACAACAACAAATACATTAGATGTCCGAGCGTGTTAAGGTTTATGAGTTCCTGTTCACGGCGGTCGGAATACATTTAATAATTTACACTATTTTAGCCAACATATTACTTTCTTTTTTGACAATATAAATGTATGAGAACATGCTTCTCTTTATTATTAACTGAATAGATAGAACAACATGCATTCTTTTTGCAAAATTTACTTGACCATGAACATGCATTCTTTTTTCGCTAACGCTACCATTCAAAATACATACACTCTTTTAATAATTTTTAGTTGCCATCAAACATACTTCTCTTTAAGGCTACGAAGTTGGACAAACTTGCGTTCTTTTACGTCTCACCAATAGATATGTGTGTGTGACTTTCGACCGGTATTGCCTGATGTTGCATACGATAACACAGAGGCTACTGCTTTTTCGCTGGTGTATAAGAAACACACTTACGTTGTGTAATACGTTAGTCACTACACACAAATCACGCGCACAAAGATGTTAAGGACTTCCTGAAAAATCCAGTATAATTTATAAATTGTATGACGATATTCAGTCTGTGATTAGACGGCGAAATAAATAATAGTAATAATCCATTTCATTCTTTCAATTTAGTTCATTTAATACAATATAAGATTCATCACACATCAAATGATACAAATATTCTAACACATCGTGGACATATTAAAACCAAAAAATCACATCAGATTAGTTTGACTCTAGCGTTTTTTACATTTGATAACAAGAATTTTTCGCTGAATTTACTTAAATTTAGTCTGTTATCGACGTTATGTTGGCTCTTTGAACCAAGTCTAGCGATAACATTTTTGATGAAGCAATTCATATAAGGCGAGCGCAAATGAAAACAGTATCAGTCGACATAGTTTAATTCAATACGGTAGCGTCAACGATGAAGATCACTTTGATTACTAGTTTTGTGTTATTTTCCATTGGCACTTTTTGTCAAGTGTCTAGTGGTGATTTTGCTGCAGCAACGGCTGTACAGATCATAACTCCAGTTAATCATACATTCCACTTGGAATTGAATAATTTAAAATCGATTCTCGAAGCGGATGACATAAAGGATCGCCATGTGGCTGTAGTTTCAATCGCCGGTGCATTCCGAAAGGGAAAGAGCTTTTTGTCTAATTTCTTCCTACGTTATCTTTACGCGCAGGTAAGCAAATCATTTTGAAGGTGTTTCTATTCTAGTTCAATATTTCAATAGTACAGTCTCTGATACAAATTAACAACTTAATTTTAAAACAAACATTAAATAAAACGAATTACATACGTAATCCAAACTTTTCCGCTCCGCAGCAATTTAGTTTACCTCCCGCTTAATGTTTAACCAAAATTTCAATGGACCCTTTTTTCATAGCATTTTTGACCTTAAAATATAACTATTTCGACCATTTTCCATACAAAAGCGTCATTTTCGAACAAAATTTCACAAATTTCAAGAAATGTTGATTTCCAGGGCCGTAGCCAGTATGGGTCGTGGGCTGGCGCAGCCAGCCCACGCGACTTTTGCGCCAGCCCATACGGTTCTGGCGAAACATTTTTCAAAAAACAATTGTTCTTGTGTTTGGACGCGCTACCGTTTTTGTCCAATTTTCGATTATTCGACAGTGTAATAATCAAGTTCATTTCCATGAAATGTGATCGTTGCCAATGTATACAGAACATAAAAATATGAGTAGTCAATAAACGAAAAATATTTTGTAAACATTTGCAACGCAATCACACTTCATGGAAATAAACTTGTTTAATGCATTGTCGAAAATAAGGCAAAAACAACGGCGCGTTCAAACATTAAAAAAGATAGGAGATAAAGATTTATTATTAAATAAGAAAATATGAGCCTTCAATTGAAGTATGAAATTGCAAATTCAAATGCAAATTCTCATTCGTGATTCGGTTTTCAATTGAGCAACATGAAACAAAATAAGCAGGCGCGAATTAGCGATTTGTTTGGGAAAAACACATCACAAAATGGTAAGTAATTGGAAAATAAAAATCGCTCGAAAAATCGTGAATAATGGGAAATATTTGTGTTTTTAGCTGCTGTTTCAAATGACAATACTGAAAGTGCGACGTCGTCTTCAACAAATGTGCGTAATATTCCGCAAACGGTCGAGCTGGTACAGCCGGAACCAACCGATATTTCAAAAATTGGTGCAGAATACAAAAAGCAAGTTTTCCAAACGAAAAAATTTCCAAAAGACAAAGACAACCGAAGTTTTCAGCCACGATGGACAGATAGATACGATTGGATTGAATATTCTGGGCAAGTCGATGCCGTTTATTGTTTTGCTTGCAGACAATTTGGAAAATCCACAACAAAAGATGATGTATTCATGAAAACTGGTTTCAAGTCATGGAAATTGGCTCTTCAAAAGGGCAAAGGCTTTGATAAACACAACGAATCTACACAGCATAAAGAAAATTTAGCGTCATGGAGAGAAAAAGAGGCACGTAGTCAAAATTCAACTCAAATTTCGCGTCTCTTATCGAACGATGTTATTGAAAAACGACAGTATTATGTGAAATCATTAATCCGTATTGTTAAATTTCTCGCATCACATGAACTGCCATTTCGAGCTAATTATGATGTCGATACGCACAAAGAAATTGGTCTCTTCACAGAGCTACTCGAATTCACAATGCAAACAGATGAAAAGTTAAAAGAATGCTCAGCTGTCATACCGAAAAACGCCATGTACACATCACCTGATATACAAAACGAGCTGATTGCAATAATGGTTGAAATAGTGCGCGAACAAATCATTGCTGAAGTGAATGCTGCAGATGGATTCACTCTATTGGTGGATGGTACTAAAGACAAAAACAAAAATGAAATAATTTCAATTGCAGCACGATATGTGCTTAATTCAAAACCAAAGGAATCTTTAATATCTTTCGAGAAAAGTGACAGTCTTTGTGCCGATCCAATGGCAAATTTTATTTTGGTGAAATTAAAAGAGTTCAAGTTGGAACTCATAAAACTACTTTGCCAATGCTATGATGGTGCCAGCGTAATGAGTGGTGAACACGGTGGAATTCAAACGATCATTCAACAAAAATTGGGACGAACCATTCCGTACGTTCATTGCATGAATCATCGTTTACATCTGGTTGTGATTGCTGCAATCGAAGATATTCACGAACCGTCATTGTTTTTTGGTCAAATCAAAATAATATATAATTTTTTTTCGCGATGGAAAGTAAAACAAGTATACGAAGGAACCAAAATTTCTAAAGTGATTCAGACACGATGGTCAGGCCATAAGCGTGCGATTGATGCTGTTTTTAACAACTACACAGAGATTGTCAACGCATTGCATGAAATCAAATCGGGAACAAAATTTAAATTTGACGGTGAAGATATGGCACTCGCTATTGGAATATTAAACGCAATTCAGCAATATGATTTTTTGTTCATGCTCTTGTTTTTGAAAAGGGTATTGGATGTTTTGGAACCAGCAAATAAAATGTTGCAGTCACGTGAAATGAGCTATGTAACAGCATTACCATTGATTAATTTTACTATCGACGAATTGAAAAAGTTGCAAAGTGAAGAAAGTCTCCATGAAATCGAAAAAAAAACTGACGAGTTTATTTCTGCAAATAATTTATCGCCGATTCGAACAAACCGAGCTACACGACCATCAGTATTGTTATCGGAATATGTAGTAACAGAAACAACAGGCCAAAGAAATCCCGACCAAATAAAAAATGTATACGCTGAAGTCATAAATGTGTTGATAAAAGAAATGGAGCGTCGATTCAACGAAAACGATACGATTTTGCAAGCAATAAGCACATCAAATGAAATGAATCTAAAATCACTCGAGCCGCTTTCATCAATTGGTATTGAAATGCCAAGCGAAGCCGAAATGGAAATAGCAAAATCATTCGTTGAGAAGAATAAGAGTGTTGAAGGAAAGGATGAAGCTACAATATTGACTTTGCTTGAACCAGTAAAAACTGCTTTCCCAAATGTTTACAAACTGTATTGTTTAATCTATACATTTGCATGTAGCACTGCAATTTGCGAATCGTCATTCTCCGCGCTATCGAGAGTCGATATTGTCAAACGGTCATCGATGAATAGCAAACGTTTATGCGACCTTTCATTTTTAGCTTACAATAAACAGATTTTGAACGAAGTGAGCGATGAAGCAATTATGCAAAAATTCAGTAAAGATAGTCGACGTATAATGTTTTAAATCGATTTCAATTCTCCATATCAGAACAAAATGTTAAAGTAAAGCGAAATAATTAACTGATCAAGTAAACAAAACAAAACAAATATAACAGAATGAAAACTTTCAGATAATATTAGTACTGGATATCATTGTGGTTTCAATACATAAATAAAATTTAACTCTGAAACAACACTATGGTTTTTTACTTATATTTTTTTTAAAAAAATATCTATTTTTTCTCGCCAGCCCAAGATTTGGTTGAGCCAGCCAAGAAATGCGATTCTGGCTACGGCTCTGGATTTCGGACCAAATTTATGGGCAAGTAGGTGTTTGGTTGTTCACAGACTCCCATTATTTTTTGCAAAAAATGGCAGTTTGCCTTGATCGAAACCTTGAAAAATGCTTTTTTCGGGTACTTCCCGTACAAAAGTGTCATTTTTCAAGGTTTTTCAGGTCCTAAGTCGGAGGCTTATGGTACGAAATTGGTAAATCAGAATGGGCTCAAAATCAATCCGAAGCTTTGTCTCGACATGCCAAAACTTTTGGCTTTTACAGATCTCAATTATCTTGTCAACTTTTTGAGATAATCGGCTAACAAAAAACGCGAACGCGGACGCGAACGCGGACGACGCCATACGCACATCGCTATTTTGCACATTTTTCATAGTAAACAACATGTTTTTGGAGGCAGATAGGTCTTGATTGATAGGATTTGTTCCCATCTACATTGCCTAGTGTACAGATATGTGCTAAAAATATTCAACATATTCACAGAATATACACAGCATGTAAAAAATATGTGTTTACGGCAATGTCGAATCTTTGTTACCGATCGTGAATATGAGGTGTATATTTCATGAATATCGTTTATATTCCTTGAATATCGTGCATATTTTGCCAGTATTGTGAATATTTCGTATGACTGTCATCTATGGTGTATATTTCTTGGATGGAATATACATGAAAGCCCCTAGGATATGTGCTTTTTGAAGTTTGGCGTGACGTTATAGTGGTCCGAAAGAGGAGATGTCATGAAATTTTGGCTAGTAAAACCAATACTTTTCCATACAAACAAAGTTTGCGGAAAAGTAAAAAGGCGTTATAAATCTGGAGCAGAGAAAGATTGTCTTTAAATTTAAATCTGGATTTTGTATTTTTATTTTTCAATAAATCCTCTGTATATTAGTCTCATTGACGATTTTTGTGTGGAATGTGTTAATCAGTTTTTTTGTTGCGTTCCTAGTACAAGGCACACGATGTATCAGATTGGCTTGGCGAGAATGAAAATAGCAGTGAATTGGGTGGATTCAAATGGCGAGGTGGCCAAAAGCCGGAAACAATTGGCATTTGGATGTGGTCCGATATTTTTACGTATGACTTTGAAAATGGCGAAAAAGTGGCTATCATCTTGTTGGATACACAAGGCATTTTTGACAGTCAACTCAGTTTGCAAGACTGTACAACGATTTTTGCAATGAGCATGATGCTCTCCTCCGTTCAATGTTACAATGTCATGCAAAATATCCAAGAAAATGACCTACAGCATCTGGAGCTCTTCACTGAATATGGACGAATGGTTTTGGATCAAACCAACGAGAAACCGTTCCAGTATCTATTATTCCTAGTTCGAGATTGGCCATTTGCTGATGAAAATAACTATGGATGGGGACAAGAAGTAATTGATAGAATTTTGTCCGAAAATGAAGAGCAAACACTTGGAATGCGGCAATTGAGGCAACGAATCAATTCAAGTTTTGATGAAATTGGAGCATTTTTATTGCCATATCCCGGAAATACAGTTGCATTAAAAAAGAAATTCACTGGCAATCTCAAAGAAATTGACCCTGAATTCATAAAATACGTGAAAGAATTGGTGCCATCAATTTTTGCACCCGAAAATCTAGTTTTTAAGAGAATCAACGGCGAACAAGTACGTGCTCGTGACTTGATCGATTACATGCAAGCATATTTGAACGTATTCAATGGAAAAACACTGCCTGAGGCAAAAACGTTTGTTGCGGTATGTACTCTGTACTATCAATTGGAAAAAAAGAATGTTTGCAATTAATTTATTCCATGAATTTGTTATCAAAATAGGCCACAGCCGAAGCGAGCAATTTGATATTGTTTAATAATGTTATGGATTTGTATGCCAAGTCAATGCAAACGGCTCTTCGTGACATTGACTCGTACTTTAGTGCAACGGAATTATTAGAAACACACGAAACGGCCAAAAATGAATCGATATCACAGGTAATGAATACTAAATTTATTTCATTCTCATGAGAAATGATTATAAAGTGAAGCATCTTCACACAAAAATATGATGAAAATCACTATTTAATGCAATCATTATCATTTACAAACAGTTTTTGCGAAAACGTAAGCTTGGTAGCGATGACCTTATATCATCTTTCGTACATCGCATTGAAAATGCTACAGAGGAACGATTTTTGGATTTCCAGCTGGAAAACAACGAGAAACGAAAAGCATTCATTGTAAGTTATCGACCAATTTGATGGTATTTAAAATAGGGTTTACAAACGTTTCGACAAATACCGCAAACGGTGTTATAAAAACGTTATTTTTCTGTAGTGTTTTTTTTGACAGTCCAAAATACCGCAGAAATAACGATAAAAAACGAAAAAAACGTTTTTTGGGCGGTATATAACGGCTCTGTAAAAAAACGTTTTTAAGAAACACTGAAAAAAATAACGCGTTTTTAAACCCTAATTTAAAATATTCAATCCAACATTTTGAACCGAAAAGAAAATTAACTGTTTTTTTCATTTTCTTCCAAAGGACAAAGCCAATTTGCATAATGGAAAATTGGTCATTGAAATTCGAACGGATTCTGAAAAGGAAATACTCAACGAAATCGAACGTATGGAATCAATTTCCGCTGAGAATTTGAAGCAATTATTGGAAAGAACAGAAGAAAGTGCTTTAAGTGAGGTAAGTAGTCAGTTAAATGACCAAATTAAATCCAACATCGCGAATTTATTTCCCAAAACAGAAATAGTGTTGCTAGATTAAATCATCAAAGATATTTCATTAGCCACAATATGCAGTGAAATGTGATAAATTTTTGATTTTTGTGTCATACGGTTGCAAGCCTGTATCTAACGATAAATTCTCTGATTTTTCTGTAGTTTGATGCAAAGAAGATGGGCGACGAGTATATTACAAGTAGTTTCTTCGAGGAGATGCAGCACAATTCCGATGATTTCAAAGCTTCAATCGAGACAATGTTGACGTCATACAAGGACTCAGTGATTTTCTATTCCAATTCAATGCAGAACGTGCTAAACAAACTTTATCATTATAACTCTTATATACCACAAAGTTCTCTCGCTGAAATGCATCAAAATTCGAAAAACGAGGCTATTAAGCAGGTAAGAAATGATCAATCGCATGTTGTTGCTCAAATCTCAGAGATTATAGAGACATAAACGAATTCAGAAGCTCTTCTCATCTTGCTTTATTACCAACACACGTGTAATTATTTATTCTGAATATTTTCAGCTACGATCGCCTGGTATCCCTGCTGAAGTGACGTCAACATTTGAGCATAAAACCGTGAATGAGATTGAAAGAAAATACACCTCTTTTGCCCAAGAGAACGAAAGGAAACGTAATAATTTCAATGTATGTATTTCAACAGCTCTAATTTTCTTTCGTTAGAGACACTCAAGTAATGCAATGCTCATTTATTATAGTCAAGGGCCAGGGCTCACAACGCAGATTTAGTCGAGCAGATCGGAAGAGAATACAAGTCATCTGCATACGCACAAGTCAATAACGTTGATTCGTATTTAAGTGATTCCGAGGTATTGGGCATTTGTTACAGAACTCAAGAAGCTGCCCTAAACGAAGTACGTACTTTCAAGAGAGATAAATTATTCTTCTTCAATCTAAGAGAAAATAATGAATAATTTTCTTCCGTCTAGTATGATTCAAAAAAGATGGGCGATGATGATATTTCTTCGGGCTATCGCAGACAACTCGAGATGAAGATGCACGGACTCAAATCCAATTTGGAGCAACTCAATGACTACAAGGAGGCTAACTATAAAACGAAAAAGACCCTTAAAACCGGTGGTTTTACCGCTGGTGGTGCTGCAGCGGGTGCTATGATTGCAGGCCCTCCAGGTGCTGTAATTGGTGGATTGATCGGGGCGTTGGCTGGCCTCTTCTCATAAAATTTCTACAATCGAAGATGATCGAAATCTTTTCAATTTTCAAATACTATAATGATGCTAATAATGATGCTTTGTAATAAAAAGAATGTCTCAAATAAATTCAATGAAAAAAATGGAACATTTTATTATTATCAAAAATTTTGAGGGAAAAATTGATTATTTAGATGACTTTGAACCATTCTATAATAAATATACACAGAGAGAACAGACTCTAGAAATGCTTTCAATGTATTAGTAATTTGAGTACGTTCGCTGGCTGCTGCGAAGTTGACTACCACTCCATTGAGAAAAAAAATAGAATAAAAATGTTGAAAAAAATAATTCATGGAAGGTGGAAGCAACATGAGTACACACAAACGAATGTTTCGGAAACAAGACAAAACAGAGATAGATTGAGATACATGAAGAAATACAATTTATGTTTGATATTCATCAGTTCAATTGACAGTGTGCAAAAATGGACACAGTGCCCATTGAATGCTATTGTGATCTCTTCCGGTTGCATTCATAACTCATGCGGTAGCATATTATTTGTATGCTTTCTCTTTGTCTATTCATTCATTTGATGTGTGAGTGACTTACTTCTCTGTGCTTCATTTGTATGTGTGTTACTCTCTTTCTCTCTTTCCAATACTTTGCATTCATTCAATGTGCGTGCAGCAGTATTGAGAAGAAAAAAAGAGACAAAGAGATCGAGCAACACAAATACAAATGAAGCAGACAGAAGTAAGTCACTCATACATCACACGAAGGAATAAACGAACAGAAAGCATGCAAATAACTACTGCATGAGTTATGAATGCGACAAAAAGGGATTACAATAGTCAGTTGTGTCCATTTTTGCACGCTGTCAATCATATCGACGGATATTAAACTTCAATTCTATTTTGTTGTTAAAAATTATCAATTTATTAGATATCAACCAAAAGTATAAGAAAATGAGATAAAAATGTGTCTCATTCTGTCTCGATAATTCATAGTTTTTTTTTGTGTGTAGTCAAATTATAATTGTGTTTGTGAGCATCAACAATGAACATAAGTTTATTTACTATTTTTGTGCTATTTTTCATTGGCACTTTTTGCCACGTGTCTATCGGTGATTTTGCTTCAGCAAAGGCTGTGCAAATAATAGCTCCAATCAACCATACATTCCATTTGGAATTGAATAATTTAAAATCGATTCTCGAAGCGGATGACATAAGGGATCGCCATGTGGCTGTTGTATCAATCGCCGGTGCATTCCGAAAGGGCAAGAGCTTCTTAAGCAATTTTTTCCTACGTTATCTCTACGCGCAGGTAAGCAAATCATATCAATAGTTTTTTTTAGATGTTTACATATTGTTTCTTACATTTCTAGTACAAGGCTCACGATGTATCAGATTGGCTCGGCGAGAACGGAAATAGTAGTGAATTGAGTGGATTCAAATGGCGAGGTGGCCAAAAGCCGGAAACAATTGGCATTTGGATGTGGTCCGACATTTTCACGTATGACTTTGAAAATGGCGAAAAAGTAGCCATCATCCTGTTGGATACACAAGGCATTTTTGACAGTCAACTCAGTTTGCAAGACTGTACAACGATTTTTGCAATGAGCATGATGCTCTCCTCCGTTCAATGTTACAATGTCATGCAGAATATCCAAGAAAATGACCTACAGCATCTGGAGCTCTTCACTGAATATGGGCGAATGGTTTTGGATCAAACCAACGAGAAACCGTTCCAGTATCTATTATTCCTAGCTCGAGACTGGCCATTTGCTGATGAAAATAACTACGGATGGGGACAAGAAGTAATTGATAGAATTTTGTCCGAAAATGAAGAGCAAACACTTGGAATGCGGCAATTGAGGCAACGAATCAATTCGAGTTTCGATGAAATCGGCGCATTTTTAATGCCATATCCAGGAAATACAGTTGCGCTTAAGAAGAACTTCAATGGCGATCTGAAGCGAATTAATCCTGAATTCATAAGATACGTGAAAGAATTGGTGCCATCCATTTTTGCACCCGAAAATCTAGTTTTGAAGAGAATCAACGGCGAACAAGTACGTGCTCGTGACTTGATCGAATTCATGCAAGCATATTTGAACGTATTCAATAGAAATACACTGCCGGAGGCGAAAACGTTTGTTGCGGTATGTACTCTGTACTATCAATTGAAAAAAAAGAATGTTTGCTATTAATTCATTCCATGAATTTGTTATCAAAACAGGCCACAGCCGAAGCGAGCAATTTGATACTGTTTAATAATGTTATGGATTTTTATGTCAAGTCAATGCAAACGGCTCTTCGTGACATTGACCCGTACTTAAGTACAACGGAATTATTAGAAACACACGAAACGGCCAAAAATGAATCAATATCACAGGTAATTCTAAGTGGATTTTATTAGTGGACTTGAAAGTGAAAAATCCCCATACACGAAAGTCAATATCAACTTAACCCTTTGATGCACAATTTTTTGTTTTTGAATCATTTTGACATATATTTTGTGACACCATAAATAGAGAAAAACCTCATACTTAGATTTTTGAAAAATTGCGTAATTGTCGAGAAAATCGGAAAAGAGTCAAAAGTGTCAAATCACTATAAAAGCTTGAAAAAATTAAATTTCATAAAACTAATGATGCAGAAAGTTAAATTGATGTGTTTTGGTCCTACGAGTCCCAATTTGACAATTGAAAAGAATGAACAAACCCACAAGATAAGAGGAGGAAAAATGTGGAATTCTGCTATAATTTCGCATTTTTTTTACAGCAGTACATGAACAGAAAAAACTTTCCATTCAGCCAGCCAATTGTAGCCTGTAAAGTATCAAATGAAAGCTAGTTCAATTCCCTACATTTGTTCCCAAACAAGAATGTAAAAATATTCAGTGGTTTCATAGCTATAGCGTCTGGCGTATCTGGTTACTTTAGGAACCGAAATGTGATAAAGGGTTAACATTCGTTAATGCAATCCATTATCATTTACAAACAGTTTTTGCAAAAACGTAAACTTGGTGGCGATGACCTCATATCATCTTTCGTCCTGCGCATTGAGAACACTGCAGAGGAACGATTTTTGGATTTTCAGCTAGAAAACAACGAGAAACGAAAAGCATTCATTGTAAGTTGTGGACCAATTTGATGCTGCCCAAAATATCCAATCCAACATTTTCAAGTGTAAAGGAATTGAGTTTTTCTGCATTTTTTTCCCAAAGGACAAAGCCAATTTGCATAATGAAAAGTTGGTCATTGAAATACAGACGGACTTCGAAAAGAAAATACTCAACGAAATCGAACGAATGGAATCAATGTCCGCTGAAAGTTTAAAGCAATTTATGGAAAAATCAAAAGAAAGTGCTTTAGTTGAGGTATGGTGGCCATTGGCTTTCAGTCAGTGCTGATTATTAATTATTAATGAAATGGGAATTTATTCATCTAATGTCACCTATACTGGTGGTCAATAGTCATTTTTGCATTATGCACGCAGTAGCAACAATTTCATAGCCATAGCTTGATAACTACCATAACAAAAATAATAAATTCTATGATCTCTCTGTAGTTTAATGCAATGAAGATGGGCGAAAATAATATTACAGGAAAATTCTCCCAAGGGCTCCAGCAGAATATGGATGTTTTTCAAGCTTCAACTGAGACAATGCTAAATTCGCACAAGGATTCTGTAAACTTTTATTCCAATCTAATGCACAAAATGCTGAACAAAGTTGACGTGTACGCTACACACAGTTCTATCGTAGATATGCATCAGAATTCAAAAAAAAAGGCGATTAAACAGGTTTGAAATGATAAATCGCATGTTTTTGCTCAAATCACAAGGAATATAGACACATCAACGAATTCAGACGCTCTTCTTATCTTATTTTATTAACAAAACGAGTTATTAAGGATTTTATTTTAAATAGTTTCAGCTACGATCGCATGGTATCCCTGCTGAAGTGACGTCAACCTTCGAGCATAAAACCTTGAATGAAATTGAAAGAAAATACACCTCATTTGCCCAAGAGAACGAAAGGAAACGTAATAATTTCATTGTATGTATTTCAACAGCTCTGCTTTCCTTCTGATAGATACACTAAAGTAATGGAATACTCATTTATTATAGTCAAAGGCCAGGGCTTACAATACAGACTTAGTCGAGCAGATCGAAAAAGTCCGAAGTTCATCCGCATACACACAAATTGATACCGCTGAATCATATTTAAATCGCACTGAATTGTGGAATTTATGGAATGGTACAAAACAAGCTGCCCTAGATGAAGTACATACTTTCAACAGAGTTTTATCTTCCAATTTTTTTTTTTTTAATGAATGATTCCCTTCTGTCTAGTTTGATTCGTGGAAGATGGGCGATAGCGATCTTTCTTCTAGCTATCGCGCACAACTCGAAGTGAAGATGCTCGAACTTGAATCTCGTTTGGAATCACACAATGAGTATAGAAAATCATTAGATTTGTATGCCAAGTCAATGGAGAAGGCACTTCGTGACATTGACCCATACTTTAGTGAAATGGAATTATTCAAAAAACATGAAACGGCCAAAAATGAGTCGATATCACAGGTAATTACCAAATATTGAATTAAAATGCATGCTAAGTGGATTTTATAAGTGGGCTTCGTAGTGAAAAATCCCCATACACGAAAGTAATATCAACTTAACATTCTTTATGCAATCATTATCATTTGCAAACAGTTTTTGCAAGAACGTAAACTTGATGACGATGATCTTACGTCATCTTTAGTACGTCGCATTGAGAATACTACGGAGGAACGGTTTTTGGATTTCCATCGAGAAAATGACGACAAACGAAAAGCATTCATTGTAAGCTATCGACCAATTTGATGCTGCTCAAAAGATTGAATCCAACATTTTAGAATGAATAGAAAATAAATTTTTTCATTATTTTCTCCCAAAGGATAAAGCCAATTTGCATAATGAAAAATTGGTCATTGAAATACAGACGGATTTTGAAAAGAAAATACTCAAAGAAATCGAACGAATGGAATCAATATCCGCTGAAAGTTTGAAGCGATTATTAGAAAGAGCAAAAGAAAGTGCTCTAAATGAGGTGAGTGGCCTTTAGTTTTTGGTCAACGCTGAATTGATCAAATGCGATCTGGTGCCTAGCGTTGGAGGGTGTTTTGCAAGTATCGTTGTTGCATTTAAAAAAGCTGCATTTAACGATTAATTCTCTGATTTTTTCTATAGTTTCATGCAAAGATGATGGGCAACAGTGATATTGCAAGTAGTTTATCCGTAGAGCTTCAACAGAATATGGATGATTTCCAAGTTTCAATTAGGATTATGTTTACGTCGTACGAGAATTCAGTGAAGTTTTATACCAATTTAATGCGCAGAATACTAAACAAGGTTAAAGTTTACACTACAAACAGTTCTCTCATGGATATGCATCAACAGTCGAAAAAAGAGGCAATAAAACAGGTTTGAAATGATTAATCGCATGTTGTAGCTTGAACCTAAGAGATTTGAGACAGTTCAACCAAATCTGAAGCTATTTTTAACTACTTTTTTTTAAACAGCTACGATCGCATGGTATCGCTGCCGAAGTGACGTCAACTTTCCAGAATAAAACCGTAAAGGAGATTGAAAGAAAATACAAGTCATTCGCCCAAGAGAACGAAGTGAAACGGAATAATTTCATTGTATGTATTTAAAAGGGTCTGTTTTTCTTTCGTGAGAAAAGTAAACATATTTATTGATCGTTTATTTTCAGGCCATGGCCAGTGTACACAACGCAGATTTAGTCAAGCAGATTGAAAAAAGCCATCGATCATCCACATACTCACAAGTTGATAACGCTCATCCATATCTTAGTGGCAATAAATTACAGAACTTATGGAACAGTACGCAACAAGCTGCTCTGAAAGAGGTACATTCAACTTTCAAGAGTGTTTAATCATTTGAAATATTCAAAATATTTTCAAACGAATCTCATTTGATTTCATTTAAACAAATATGTAGTATGATTCGAGAAAAATGGGCGATAATGATATTTCTTTTGGCCATCGTACACAACTCAAGATGAAGTTGTTTGAACTCAAATCCCATTTGAAATTACGCAATGACTACAAGAGATCTGAATATACTTTGAAAAACACCGTGAAAACGGGCGGTATAACAATGGCTGCTGCTGCATTTGGTGGTGCGATCGCTGGTCCTCCAGGTGCTATAATTGGTGCATTCTTTGGGATGGTAATGACTGGACTCCTCTCAAGTTGATCGCAATTTTTTTTTTCAATTTATAGTTTTAATTGATATTTTTTTTCTTCAAATAAATTCGATGAAAATATGAACAAACCCAGCATTTTTAATCAAATTTAATGGAAAATATATTATATGGTGCATTGTGTTCAAACATTTTTAGCTTAAAAATCAATACCAATTTTATAATCACAGTTGTTGAACTAGCCATCGAATAGCGATGTCTATTCGCGATTGGTTGGAACCACTACATTTCCGGCCCTTGTACGACGGATGGACCAAAATAAGCGCAAAGTGAAGTAATAAATGAGTTCAAAGATGCTGAGCACAGAAACACCTAAGAACAGGCCAAGTAATCCACCACATACGGCCAGAAAATCAGTGGTAAAAGTGTACACTTCCCTCCTATTGATATTTTTCACATCGCGATTTTTAAAATAAACCACAGCAATTGTCAACTGATGCCTGGAAATGGTGAAAATGATATAATTTATAAACGCATACTTCGTGGTTACATCTACTTAGTAAAGAGTCCTTACTCTCTATGCGATGAGCTAAACTGATTCTCTGCTGACGAATCGATAGTGCTTCTATAATTAGTTGAATCGTATCCCACATAGGCACACGATGGCAAACAGTTGCATTTGTCATAGAATGCTTTACCGTTGCTACTGGTAGAAAGTTTCGTTTTTGCCAATTTGTAGCACTTCACCATTGCCCCACCGCAGATTTTTGTGTTTTTATCTCCTGCAAAATAAAAGTGTTTTCATTGACCAAAACTGCAATGCAAATACAAACTAAAATCGAAAATGGAAAAGAACAATACTTGGCATCGAAAATTTCACGCATCCACATTCGATTCTTGTGAAGTTCGCCAAACATTCTTCCTCGCAATTGGTCATCGTATAGATTTTGAAGAAGCGCAACGGATTATCAAAGCTATAAAAGCATTTTCGCTGGTATGGCTCATAGTCGCGTACTCCTTCTGAGGCGGTGATCACATTTGAATTGATCTCAACCAGATTTTCTGTTAAAATCGGAAGTCGCACGTAGTTCTGTGATGTTTTTAGTGTTTCACCGGGTGTTGTTAGAATTAACTTAAAACCTTGATCGACTCCTGTACATTGATTGTTTATGTTTCTGTCGTTTGGATAAGATGTAAGGAACATAATCAATTTATCAATACGTCCCAAACGAACCGCTCGAAATGGGTAATTCTTTTCAACAGATTGGTTTACGTATCCAGTGTCTATGCTCCATCCTGATAAATTTTGATTATTTTTGTTCACAGTCATCATTCCTGGAGCCATTCTGAAAATATTTCTTTAGATCATCATCATACAAATTTTTAAAAAAAAATGTAATATCCTACTTATCTGTGTAAATTTCATGGAAATTTAGAGAATTAAATGTGAAACATAGTCCTTCTTCAGTTAAAATAGGCACAAAAAGCTTATAACACGGCTGCGAATCTTCTCGCCATACACACATATCCATTGATTGAAACATGTTACGTGCAATGTCTTGAATTGTATCGTAAATTCCATCAGTCGTATACATATCCGTGTACTCAATTACGTGCGGCAAAAGTGGGCATATGTGAGCCAAGGTGTTAAGTCGAGTGATACTGAATGTGTGTACAAGGTAAATATTCCAAATGGAACAAAAAATCCACATGAGTAAATTGATCATTGATCAAAATCTTTTATCTATTCATTTGTTAGTCAGCGGCTAACCAGTGAACCTTCAAATATTCGAGAGGTAAGCGCCAATTTTGTAGCAAATGAATAGATGTGACCTTCAAAATCCCAAACTTCCGTACTGTATTGCAGATAAATTAGCTAAAGATTTCACTGCCCGATTCACGTCCAATTTTTCTTTGACCGTCTTAATCTCAGGACAAACAGTTACTGTTGGAAACGGAAGGTTTTCCATAGTAGTTTTCTTTGCCAACTCCGTTTTAACTGGATCTTCTAGCTCTTGAATCCAAGCATCCCGAATCATTAAACCACACAAACACAGCGATACACCAACGAAAACAAACCACCAGAGCCTTTCGATGTTATTATTGCATATGGAGAAAAAGATTTATGAAATCAAAGAAAACGGACTAGAAAATGAAACAAAAAAACACCTTTCGCTCCAATGTAGCCTTCTCTCGCTGAAGTATCGAACGCCATGGATGTTACTGTCGTCACCAAATTCCCGCAATTTCCGAGCAATACGAGTAATGAATTCCACCTATTTGATGAAAAAAAATACACACTTTTACGCAAATTGATGGATAAATTTTCATATTTTGGTGACAAACCTCTCGATCTTCACTATTTTGATCTCTTTGACCATAATTGGTTTCAAGTAAATCATGATTGGACTCCAGTTCTGATTGCTCTTGGATTTTTTCAGATCTCGAATAACGAATGGTCCACAATGGACGAAGAGTGGCGTAATAAATTAGTTCAATAATACTTAATGCCGAAACACCCAAGAAAAGTCCAAGTAAACCGCCACAAATTGACAAAAAATCGCCAACCGTGTACGATTCTACGCCAATTTTCGTTGAAATGTTATCTTCCACGAAGAAAATGATCAATCTTGTTTGACTAACCGAAAATTTTACAACAAGAAGAATATATCGATAAAGTGGCAAACTGTGCAGCATGACACGTTTGAGAAAGTGAAAAAAATTCTTTCCTTTTTACCTCAGATCATTCGATCGATTTCGATTAATAGCTGTCATAGTTTGATCCACTCTCCCAATATAATCAATAGACATACATGCTTTCAAGCAGTTGCAACGCGATGGTACTCCATAATGAGTTGAGTATTTTCTTTTAGCCGCTACATAACAATTAACCTTTGCCGCACCACAAATCTTAGTACTATTATCCCCTGTTAACGTAAAATTATAAATTTCTCTCGCTTCAAAGATTCAACATACATGTTCATATTACTTGGCATGGAAAACTTCACACACCCACATTCTCTCATTGTATTGTTAGCAATACATTCATCTCTGCAATTATTCTGTGTATAAGTTTTGAAGAAGCGTAATTGACGTTCGAAGGTGAAAAAGCAATCGCGTTTTTCTGGTTGATATTTGCTTAGTCGCTTGGGAGAAGATACCACTATGGGCTTTAATGCATAGAGTGTATCGTCTGAAGATTGGATATACATAAAATTGGCTTTGTGTAACGTATCACCTGGTGTACTTAGCAAAAGTATGAATCCTTGTAAATATGCCGTGCACATAAAATCATAATCGCTTTTGCGTGTTGAAAGACTCAAAACAAGGCCATTTTCACGACCCGAACTAAACAACCGCATCGGGTATTCTTTTCGGATATATTTATCGTCATATCCATTTTCCAAGCTCCAAAAAGACCTGTTTCGATGGTTGCTGCCTGACGCCACTACGCTCGAAAGCACTCTGAAAACGACACATTTTTTTTACAATTCATTCTGCTTAAAGGCACTATTTCCAAGGCTCACGATCGCTCACGATTGCAATCGTGCACGACCTTTAACATACAAAATATACATATAGGGAAGGTTATGCACGATTGCAATCGTGAGCCTTGGGAATAGTGCCTTAATTTTCCCTTTAACATGTTGCAATTGTTACACTCACTCATCTTTGTACAGCTCATGCGGGTGTAGAGCGTTGAATGTGAAACAAAGGCCATATGTAGTTAAGATTGGAGATATGAATTCAGAACAATTAATTCGCTGCTGTTGCCATGAACATGATTGAATTATGTTCTTCAGATCGGGTGCCAAGTCTTCGATTGTTTTGTAAATTGATTCGGTTGTATAATTTTCCCGAAACTCAACATGCGATGGCAGCACTGGGCAAATGTGAGCCAATGCATGAAACTGTTCAGATCTGAAAGAATTTGCAAGACAATCTGTTGAAAAAGAATCAGAATCTCTAGTTTAAAACTCCATACTCAACGTCAGATAAGTTTGCGATCAATTTTTTCTCGGCATTGAATTTCGACGATATGTCGAGCTTATGCTTCAAGCTCTTAATATCCGGACAAATGGTTACTGTTGGAAATGGGATAGTGGAAATGTGTACCTTTTTGCTATAATCGACTGTAACCGGATTTTCATTCCAATCCATCCAAGTACCCCGGATCATCGAACTGCATAGCCAAAGTGACAAACCAAGGGAAATCAACCACCACAACCTGAGTTGAATTCATACGTTTAGCATCGAAATTGGGAATTAATTTAATTTAAACATAACCTTTCACTCCAATGCAGCCTTCGTTCACTGAAGTATCGAAAGCCATGAATATTACTGTTGTCACAAAATTCAACGAAAAATATTTGAATCGTCTGAATAATATTTTGAACCATGATTGGCTTATTCCTTTAAAAAAGTGTCCAATTGTTCGAAGCTAACCCAGGGAAATGGCGCAGTAAATGTGATGCAATTAACGAAATGCATTTCTATCCAATATTACTTCGACTTTTTACTTCTATTTGATTAGTTAGTTTGCTACACGTGTCTACTTCTTCATAAATAATTCATACGGTCGACTGAAGGTCTCTAACATCTAATTGAATTGAATAAACATTTTCAACTAATCAATTGGAAATGATTGATTCGCGCGTGGAATGATTTTGTGATCAATGATAATCTGATGTTTTGTGAAATTGATTGTCTTCAAAAGTGTTTTTGGGGAAAATTAAAATGGTTGGTATAACAATGTATCAATTTCGCAATGATGATTCATAACACATAGCTTCCAGAGCAATTGCATGGTTTCCTATGCTCTCAATGTTGTCACTCATGAAAACAAGGAAATCGCCATCACTATTTCACCGATAGAGATTTCTAAGTTTTTCATACTTTTAGTTTCGTTTTTATTGCGATTTCATTCCTAGGTTTGTTTTTTTTCGAAAAAAAAACTTTCATTTTCAAATAATAAAAAACAAATTCATAATTATTGCTTGTTGTTTTATTAAAGTGAAGTGTTTACAATGGAAAATATTTTGTTACTGTGCAAAGTGCAATGTGCAAACATTTCGGGGAGAAAAAAAAATAGCTGTGTAGAGAAAAACAAAGGGGCCATTGTGATCGCAATTACTTCCCAGAATTCCCAGAATTCCTTTTCGCGGCATTATCCAGGTCAGCGTTAGTTGGCGCTTGAGTAGCGTCAGTATCATCTCCATCAGGATCTTGAAAAACAATTATATGATAATAATTAATAAATTATTCAAGGGAAAATGATTTTTTTAAATTTTTTTTCATCGAATAATGGTTGGTATAAACAGTTTTTGATGATATTAAATAAAATTGCAACATTTACGGCGTTTCGAAATAATAATTGATTAGGATATAAAATAAAAACAACGCATCATCAGCTCATATATCGAAGTGTAACTCAGAATATTTGGACTACAGATCGAAACTAAATTTTGTTGTTAGATGCACCTTCGTTCCGTATTACGTTGCACTTTTTTTGAGTTGCACTTTAATAAGTGCGCATATCATCTAGATAGCATTCAATTTCTCATACAAGCTCATTTTTATGGTGATATTATACATTCTACCCTTCTAACCTACAACCGAAGCTGCGCAACAGGCACACTCTGTGGTCATGTTTGACGTTCACTTCGCCCCGTTTTTATTCTTTACAACAACAAATCACACACATTCTATGTAGTTCGGTTACCGAACTTCGGTACACTGTACACAGAAATTCCAGATGGCGCCAGCTGTATTAAATCGCCAGTTGCGCAGTTACACCTACAAAGCACTCGAAAATGAAATAAATATTATTTTTCTTGTGGCAAAACCAATTTCAAAATACTTTTCTTCCACGACATGGTCGTGTGGAAAAATAATAACAGAAGAAATGCCAACTAATATTTTAGAACGTCGAAACTGCATCATGTGGAATTCAAGCTGTATGCAGAGCACAGTAACTGGGAATTACATTTTTGTACAACTTCAAGACATTATATATGACTTGCAAAGAGAGTGCAAGGGCTCTGCAACCACCACTCACTTTTGACGTAAAATTTGTATAATTCTATAGCAGCCGTATAAATGCAGACATTATGCAGAGTAATCCTGCATAAAAATTATTGCAAAAGAAATTGCAAGACTTTATGTTTCTCCAAAAAAAAACACTTGTTGGGAATCTAGGGTTGTTTCATACCTTGGGTTGTGGCACACATGCATTGTGCGGATCCACCCTCATTTCCATTTGTAGTCGAAGCGGCATATCCAAAGGCCTGGAAATTAAAAGAAAAAACAATTGAATACATGTCAAATGATAAAACCGTTCGAATTTTTTTGTGATTTTTTAAAGATGAATCCAAATGAAAAAAAAAAACTAATTTCAAGTGGAGAATTGATTTAAAATAATATATAGTTCACTTACCACCAGCTGCACCAACAGTAAAGCTAGTAAAATTGTATACTTATTCATTTTGGAATCGATGAAAGCCTTTTTGCGGTCGATGAGGAATAATAGCAAACTGATTTGAGTTTGGAAAGTAGCAGAATTTTTAAAGCTTTTATAGGAACTTCGATCAATACACAACAAAGGCAAGCAATTAACTGTTTTTATACAATTTGATAAAATAACTCACATATTCTACGTTCGTGACTTCGTGTGAATTCAACTTTATGGGTGTAACACTTTTTTCTCATTACACTAATGAATAGGTTCGAATCGATAATGTCAGTTTCTACAATCAACCGACAATTAGCTATGTCAGCCATCTCCTATACAATACGAATTTGGTTATTATCTTGTTGTTAATCATTGGAAAAAATATATGTTATAAAAAATGAAGTTGCAACAAAGTATAACAATGTTTATCGCAAAAAAGTTGTATTTGTTGATTTAATATATATGCTCTGGCAAATTCCGAAAATACACTTATTTGTATTGATGGCAACAAAGTATGACATTCAAATCACATTTATTGGTACCCTTTATCAAGATCATAATTAAATGAATAATTGAAAATAATGAACGGTTGCAGAAACAGGGAATGAAACCTTGAGAGTCACGACATTTTATTAAATTTCAATCGGTTTAAATATTGGCTTTATTGTTCATACTAATATTCTGATTTCATATTCGATACCATTTTTATGGTTTCACTCCATGTTTGAGTGCATTCTAACTCAAATCAACATGAATTCAAATAGTTCTTCGTATGACCTTCATACGTTTTTTTTTTCACGGAAAAGCATAAAACCAATCTTTTAAATTAAAGTACTAAGCAATGTAAAAATTAACCGGAGTTTGGGTTCTGTAGAATGATTGAACCTTTTGCTATGCAATGTGAGTATTCACATATTGATATACATGTACGTGTGAGATCATGAGCACACATGTGCTTCCTTCGTGTATCGGGGCGTACCGTAAAGTGCCCGTATTGTATTTTTACGAAAACTGGATTGTGATAAGAGATGTCAAAGTTGCAGAGCAGGTTGAGTATTAGAATATACCAGAACACACAATTTCGTTATCACTTGTCAGTTCCGCGGAAAAATGCATAAAAATATAGAATATATATTCAATTGGCGTCCAACACAATATTATGTGTGAATATATACTGCAGTGTAATCGAGGGGCAAATCACTCTAAAGTAATTTGTAATAGAGAAAGTAATCGAGAAAGTAATTTACGTGTAAAAATCTCGATTACTTTTATTCTTCCATTTGAGCTTACATTGGCTCACATTTTCAACATTTTTCTATGAAAAAAAAATTCTTCAACAATTCAATTCAATTCACTTTATTCAATGTTTAATAAACATTTTCCAAATTATCAACCTTAATCTAAAATGATCTTTTCTCTCTGGTTTTTAAACTGTCTGTTCTTTGTTGAATCAAAACTCTAATTTGTTTTTGATTTTGTCCATCTGCATTGCTGGCTCGGCAAAGGTAGATTCCTTCGTGGCGTCGGCTCACACGGTATTTTTGGATGATTGCATAGTTTTCTGTAGTTGAATTCCGTGCATTTGGTAGAGCCACTTGATTTCCACGTACTCTAGGCCCAAACCATTGTACAATCGACGGTTCCTCACCATTAGCCATACAAAGCAACTCCAATTTTTCGCCTTCAATCAATGTTATTTCTGGTGTATTTGGCAAAATGGTAACATTCAAATTTGGATGTTGAACAATAATCGAAGTGGATTTCCTTGTTTCACCAATAATATTACTGGCCTGGCATTCGTATTCACCAGCTTCAGCAACAGTAACGTTGGCAATTAAAATTGTACCGATCGATTTCTCTTCGATATGACGAGAGAGTAGGGCACCATCACGACGAGCCCACACCAAAATTGGAGC